AGAGAGAGAGAGAGAGAAGAATTCTGAGACGTGAAAAAGTGAGGAGAAATAGAGAGAAATATTGTGTGCATGTGAGAGAGAGTATACAAAGGAAGAAAACACGTTTGTCGTTCTTTCTTTGTGTAGGGAGAAGTTGTGAGGGTGAGAAAAATATTGTAACGAGTGATTTATTTTTCTTATCAATAAAAGTATTCTACTGTGGTTGTCAGCAGTCAGCTGAGCTACGTTAAATTCTTTGTTTTCTCTTTTGTCCAATTATTTCGTGTTTTGTGTTTCCGCTGCGTTTGGTTGAGTTGGGTGGGAAAGTTGATTTTTTCCCAACAAAAGCAAGAAAATGGAATTTTTTTTCCAACTTCTATGAAAAAAATGGTTTATTAAACATGGCCCAAGTAATTGGGGTCAAACACATGCTTATTTTCAAGTCAATTAATGTGACATGTTATCAATTTCAAAAAGGAAAATTTTTTCCCTCTAAAAATATATAAAGCGAAGAAGTCTTTTTAAAACCCGCCAAGAACCCTACCCTGCAGTCGAAACCCCCAATCAGAAGAAAACCCGCCCAGAACCACTCATGGCGACGCCAACCAGCGTTCTCCTCCGCCGCAGTTACTCTCGGAAAACTCTTCCCTCTTCCACCAGCACAGCCGTCCGTCCTTTCTTTTTGAAAGAAGTTTGTATTTCCTTTCCCCAGTATTATCGTTCGTGATTATTGTCTTATCACATGTAGACACGATCACTCCAGTCTAACACTTCTTTTTGTGTTTCTTTTTCCCTGTTGCAGGTTTTTTTACACGATTGGTGGCTGATCAAAGTCGATAAGGATCCACAAGAAAAACGATTAGGGATTGGCGGTTTCACTTGTAGAGAGTAAGGTTTTTACTATGCATTTTATATTTCTCTGATTTATGGTAAAAATCGATAATAATGAAGTCGTAACGTATTGGTTGGGAGAGTGAACTGGAAAGTTGAATACAATTTCTGATATAGATACAGTATGTGAAATTAAGAATACTTTTAGATTGGGCGTGTTTTTTTATTCATATTCAACTATTCATAAAACCCATTATTGTCACTTCTTAAAAACAGCTTTTGCATTTTTTATTTTGTAGTTTTTGTTTGTCCAAGATAAGAGAGCTGAAACTTTAGTGTAGGTAAAAATTCTGTAATTTTTAACTCAGCAGCAAAAAGAACCATATTAAATTATAAAATTAGTTTAGGATAAAATGTTGGAGAATGCGTTCCTATGTTGATTTGCTCTATTCACAATCTAAAAGACAGACTTTGATTGAATAACTTTTATTGTCAATTTAGAGTGTGATGTTTGGGCTACTTACTAGTATGATATTTTACCAGTTTAAACTTTGTGTTATTTTGGCTGCCCTAATTGCCTGTTTAGTTGTAAAGTTCTGTTGGGTCCATTTTTTGTTTGTTGGTGGTGTTTCACTCTGAATATTAACATCGTTGCCTGAATCCTTATCATATTCTTGCATCATTAACTGCACTATTTTCCCATGACACAGGAGACAAGGGACACGAGTTTTTCACTCTGCTTCAATATCCAAAAGACTAGATGCTGTCACTCTTAAGACGGAAGATGGAATAACTATTACTGTTCATGGACATCTGAACACGACTCGCACTATTGAAAATGGGTTCCCTCAAGAGGTATTGATTTTTAGCTCTCTTTATCTTTATTTTCAATGAAGCATACAAATTGTACTTAAGCAGAATTGATTTAGTATTGCGTATGTGGAGGCAATGAAACATGAACTAAATGCTTGAGCATGAAGTCAGATATTTCATTTTTTTTTTGTCCCTTATGTTTTCTCCTAGTTTCTCGTAATGTAATCACTCTGTCTGCCCATTAATTGTCATTGAATCCTTTCTTGGTAGTTGCTTTTGTGAAAGTGGATTTTTCAATTTCTTCCCTCCAATCCATTTTTATGATATGGATTTGTTTGGGCATCTCTCCCTTCTTCTCTATTCCTCTTATTAGTGAATTGGATATGGCAAAGATGAGGTACGTGCATGTCACTCATTTACACTTAAAAAAAAAATGTAAGCATATTGAATCACTATTGAGTTGTAAGCTGGCATTGTCATTGGAATCACGTAAGGTGGCTTGATCCTATTATCCCATTTTCAGACATAAATTTGGATCTTGGGTAGATAGTTGTACATGTTCATAACATGCTTAATATCTCCGATCGGTAAGAGCTTGAAATGGGGGTTGTAATGTCCAAGTTTAATTTCTGGTTGGGTAGAGGTTTCCATAGCTCCTTACCCCAGCTCTCGTCACAAAAAATTATATATGTACTAATGAGAGTTTCAACTTCCACTTCCCACGCAGTAGCTACCTCAATTGCTTCCTCTATTCCTACTTAGTGACATTCTTCTTCAGATGGATTAACAATTTTTAATTCTTCAACTTCTAAACTGATCAGGTTTGCAATCATTTTGTCATTGGGTTTCCATATTACTGGGAAGAATTCGCTGGCCTGTCATTTGATGAAGAGCCAACCAACCTTTATTTTTTAAAAGAGATTTCTGGTTCTGATGGAAATAAAACTTCCTTGCATGATAGCTCAAAAAGCTCCCTACCTATGGCCGTATATGATCTTCCAGTTACAGTAATACGTGATCTAAAAATGATCTCCCCAGGAGATTGTGGATGTTCTATGCTGACACACAATATTTTGGACGATATACTACAAACATACAGAGGTAATGCTGCTGACAAAGCTCAGTTGAATTATAAGAACACGGAGACTGAGCAGAAACGGAGAGGCAGCAGTGATGTGATAGATGCGGAACCCAGAACCAAGAGAAATAAGAGAAATACTGTTGATCGTGCTATGCTTGGTATAGGTCCTTTGACACGAAGTAGGACTCGTTTGAAACGGTAAGAAAGACATGTGTTGATTAAAGATAGTGAGGTTCAGGAATATTAATTATTGTATTGAGAACAATGATTCTTGAAGAGAACTCTGCAAATTTAGGAGGAATCGTGTAATACTTTTGCATTGAGAAGAACTGTACAGGATATTTCACATTTGTATAGTCTGGAGAAACAGATGAATTATGCTGTAAATTTCTGAGTCAAGGTCAGCCCCTTGAAGATTTAACAGGTCCTAAACATTTAAAGAATGTTATTTAGGAGGTAATATATGAATTGTTTGAAGAACGTCTTTTTAGTTTCAGTTGAAATCTGAGGTCTCTCTCAGAACTTTTGATAGATGATGGTGCTTTTGCTTTATTTTCCTTTTTCTGTGTAGAAGAAAATTATATTTTTATGAGCAACGTGAACTTTGTAAAAAATGTAAATCAGAGTTTTTCATGACGATTGTAATCGTTATCAAAAGTTTTTGTTAATGCTCAATTTCATGATAGTTTCACCAAGTGCTCTCTTCTTTCTTTTTTGGAAAAAAGAGTAAATTTTCTTTATAAAGAAAAAGTAAAACTTTTGTAGTTCTTTAACCCGTGCTTTGGATACATCTCAAGTAAACTTTCCCCTGATTTCATGGGCAACAGCTTTTGGTCAACACCCCCAAAAGCTTTCCATCTTTTGTTGTTTTGACAAAGGCTAGTTCTTTGAAGGGAGGATTAGAAAATTGCGTGCATCAATCACGGAGGCAGTTTTCCAGTTAAAAAATTATAATCCATTCATTAATATGTATGGTAGTACTAGTGTATGACCATGTTGTCATAAATAAAAATAATGCTATCTACAACTATTGGTGACATAATGTGATATGTTCAGTAAAAGATAAGATTATATGATTCGTTTAATTGAATTTGTAATTTAATGTCACTAATACTGTGATTTAGACTGATGTTAAACATTAGTAGTGATAAATAACATTATTCCATAAATATATATAATGGTAATAATCTTACGAAAGTTTCTGGTGGTGCTGTTAGTGGTGGTTGGAGTGTGGCAGTGCGGCGGTGGCCGCGCTGGTCCAACATAATTGTTGTGTTCGGTACTATATTATGTCCAATCTGCTTGCCATATGCACGCACGCATGCTTTATTTACATTTGGATCATGTTTGATGGACTATATGCTGATTCCAGCTCTCTGATATTTAGAAGGAAGAGATGCCTTTTTGCGTCCATATATCATTTGGCATTGACTCATTTGTCCCAATGCCTTTGGAAAGTTCACTTTTTCTGTCTAGTTCTTGGGATTACAAGCCTTTACCAAACCTCCTCACCCCACCTCTCTCCCTCTCCCTCTGCACTGCCTCTGTAAAATCTTTTTGTGTGCCTCGAGGCTTCGATGTATGTACATACACTATCAGCAATCACTGATCAACAAGAAGAAAAGAGAGATTCCGATTTCATGATTTGCACACTTCACATTTTGATTTGGAAAGGAACACATCAAATTGTTTCTTGTCCAAAAAAATTGGTGTTCTCAACATCAAACAACAGGAAATTTTTCATGTTACGTTTGTAACTTATAGTTTTGTAATTATTTGGAACCACTGCAAATTTGAATATACACAACGACGATAACGTTGTTTCTGATGCAGAAACACATCGAAATTGTTGTCTACTTGAGCCCCTCTATGGTACAAGAACAAATTATAATCTTATAATCTAATTAAGCTGTTTCTTATCACATTTGTCTTCTTTCACCATAAAGATTGAATTTTGTGTTTGATTTCTCGAAGCTGGTAAATGCAGCAATTGTCTCTGAACTCCTCGATAACGCAGCAGAAGAATCTATTTGCCTAGTCTTGTACTATGTGTTCATGGTTATATGCTCTTAATGAGGTAATGATATTCAGTTTTGTTAGAGAAACCACTTATCGTTGGTTTTTACGATGATGCACTAATGCAGGATAAAACCAATATTCAACTCTACGACAATATAAAAAATCGAAAGTTGTGCCCTTCCTCTCAAATGTGAAAGTATATTCAATTTTGCTTCAAATTTAGACATCTCGAAAATAAAAAAACTGGTTTATCGTGGACTCTCTCGCTCATTGTGGGAGTATGATGGATTGTGAGTTGTGACTATGTGTTCGAAATATCAATGATACACCATTTTCATTTTTAAATTTGTTGACATCTCCTACTTGTGCGCTCAAGTTGTGTGCCTAGACGACCCAAACTGCCAAGCCAACCCGACTGGAGTTGGTTTGGATTGGTTTGAACTCATGTTGGTTCAATTATCGGTTGGGTCCGAAACCGACCCAACTCGACCATGCCACCCCCACTTGTGCTTGGGGAATGGCAAATAAATACAAATATGGAGAGAAATCTCAGTGGCATGGAATCCTGTATAGTTTTTTCAGCGAACTTTGTGGGATGTTATTTTTTGCGATCTTCAAACTAAAGAATATAATTAATACATCTCTGTTATTCATGATACTACAAGGCATGTCTGTCAGATTCCTTAGAAAATTGGTTCTTTACTCACTCCAAAATTATATTTAATTTAAACAAGACATTTAAGCATCTCTTCGACATTGGAAACAATCTATTCATAATAAGATAAAATAGAAGTTTCATAGTAATTTTGTATGTGACAGTGCTACTTGTTTCCATCTTATTATAAACTGTACCCTTCCTCTTCCTGTATTATCACTTGACAAAGATATTGTTTTTTGATCATATTCTATCAATCTTGTTTTGGCATTTAGTTTCGACATTTTCACTGATTTTGTAAAAAAAAATAAAAATTGAGTAAATCAGAGAAGAAAATCGAGTAATCTCACGACATGTACAGTAAAGTGCATTAAATAGTGTTTGGAAAAGTCGAAAACGTACAATATCTAAGCCTCTATTTGAGCTACATTATTTTTTTCATTCTCATTTTTCTACTTATTTTCAATCACACATTCTTCAATAAAAAAAAACTTTCTGTCACATCAATAACTTTTCTTTCTTTTTCAACCACATATTCCCCATCACATCAACCAAAAAAATGCATTCTTGGAGCAAAAATGTGCACCAAATAGGGGCTAAATATGGAATGATTTTTTTTACATAAGAAATGAGAAAATGGTTTCTTCACTGGCAAAAACACTGAAAAATTGCAATTAATTTATGCGTACAATACCCCTCTGGTGGGTGGGTACTGGGTAAGGTGCAGTAGCTGTAAAAAAGGAAGCTTTTCTATTGAGTGGGTCAATGTTTCGACAAAAAGGGAGGCACTAAATTCATCTTTTTCTTTTGTATCCATCTTGGAAAGGTCAAGTCCAGTACCATATTTTATTTGCTGATTCTGTGACAAACCATAATTTCTTTGGCACTCGAAGACAATGTAGCTATCTACTGAGTTCTTTAATTTTTCAACTTTTCAATCAGAGATTAGACAAATCAAAAATTTCATTTCTCTTTAAGCATCCAACGTTTTCTTTAACCCCCTTTTGAGATGACACTGTTCTTCTTTTACCCTAAAACTTCTCTTCTCAATTTACATGTTGACATAAATTTATTTCGATTGCTGCACATATTTTGTTCCACTTACATGAACACATCTCGATACCTTTATTCAGAAAATGAAGTAATTCCCTTTGGATATGGAGGTTGGCCATATATATTATTTTCTATAGCGCGTCTCATTCATTAATCGTTTCAACTACTCACAAGTTTAAAGCTATAAATTTCATTAATTATAATAAGATATGCATTACAGAAAATGATTTTGTTCTGAGCTCAGTTATTAATTTGATAAAACTAACCATGATTTTCTTAAGAACATGAAGAAAAGGTTTCTGACTTTTACTTCCATTGGCAATCAGTGCTAATTGTTTTGAAAGATCAGATTATTTTATTTAAATTAAAGAAATGCTATACTTACAGCCTTTTTACACATTAAGTTTGACAGCTCTCTCACATGGGGGTGGGGCACGCGATTACGGATTACCCATGTGGGAGGACTGTAAACTTAATGTATAAAAAGGCTGTACATTCAGCATTTTTCTTTAAGTTATTAATACTTCTTCAGTGTCCTTGTAACTTTGTGTTGACCTCGAAACTCATAACACCTTTTATAATGATTTATCTCTAAATATTATTATTATTGTTTTGGTAAGTGACACAAATATTCAAATATTGAGAAAGAAAAAATAAAAATACAACGTGCTCAAACACAATAATTTGATGAATGTTAATTGCTCTTATATTTTGTTATGATCCTTTCCTATTTGATTCATTTAAGATTCTATGCTTGAAATTGCATTATTGGAAAGAACTGTGATTTCTACTACACATTCTATTCTAAAAATTATAGTACGAGATCATTTCTAAACATGAATTCTGATAGAAAAAGGAATAATACATTATCATTTCCGTCGTTTAAGAAAATACTATTTCAAGCTTGAAAAATGAAAACGTTCCATTCTAAGGCTGAAATAGGGTATATCGAGCAGATTTAAAAGAACATTCTTAATTAACCTTTTTGGACAATCTGTGTCGCAACAATAACCCAAAAAGGTAGCTTTACCATTCTGTATAATTATTTCTTTTACTTTATAAAAAATCAGCATTACTATATAGAAATGATTATAATTAATAAACAAATCTTATAAATTTCTTCCATGGAGAAAATATTTTATGATCAGGCTCAGAAAGTTAAGACAGTATATATATGGCAGTATGGGACAAGGGTGGAGGGACTATAACCAACTCTCACTTGCGTCGCAACAAGTTAAAGGAATGTGGGGGAATTGATTGACTTCTAATTACTAATTTTTGCTCGTTTAGATTAGGCCACCATTTTTGTTCTCTCTTTTAGGGCATCTACATTTGTATGCTTTGACATCAGTAGGAGACTTTTTCTCTTGTTTTTCAACTCCAATTACATTTCTTTTTACACCAAAAGTCCGCCATTGTTGTAGAAAGAGATTTTTTGGGGGGCTTTACTTTCACAAAGCATAAATCTAATGGTCAAAGGAGTCACCTTTGTATGCTCATTTTTGCGTATGCACATGATCCCCCTGCCTGTGTTCAGACTTTAGGAGACTGTACTTTTAGAAACTGAAATGGTGCCAAATCGGAAGAGGAAAACTGAGGGTTTTTGACTCCCGGCTGAGTTTTTTTTTTTCACTGTTCTTTTGGGCATTCTTGATTTTCTTCTCCTAAAAGCCAATCTTGATATATTTTCTTGTGCACCTAGCCTGTGATGGTAATAATTGTTTTCTTGTTCTTCTGCTTCTTTAGTTGTGCATTTATTTCTACTACTACTGGGTGGCGTTTGCTATAATGGCATTGTGTATTTCTGTTTTCCAGAGATGCATTTTGAAGGGTTTAGCACTAGTAAATTGCCCGAACTGGTTAGGCACAAACGTTCCAAGAGGTAGGCTTGTTTTTCAGTAAGTTTTAGTATGCTACAGCTAATGGGTTTCTTCTACTGGAAAGACTTCTGAATTTGGGTAAAAGGGAAAATGGAGATGAGAGTTTCAGAGCTAAAAAGATTATTGTTTTCTGAAAATTAGAAGAAAATAGTGATAGTTGCATTTGGACTTTTTTCCCTTCAGTTCTCTTGATTTCTGAGAGCCATAAATCTTGGTTCTACTGGTTTGGACCCGACATCCTCGCAAACCTTTGAAGGGTTTGTGGTAAAATTAAGTAGAGAGAGTAGTGTGTGGGTGAATCTGGCATTCTGGTTTACATACTTTTCTCTTCTTTGCTTGTTTTTCCAATTTTTACATTACTATGTTAATTTGGTTTTATTTGATGAATATAGCTTTCAGATTCTAGCTAGAAATCATGATTATATAAGGAATACTTATGTTTGTGAGTAGTAGAAGGGCAACACAGTTCAATTTTTATTTTTTTATTTTTCTGTTTTTATGAGTAACGATGTCCGAAATAAATGCTAGTGTTATGTGGGTAAAAGATACATTGAGTTGGCAAGTATCTTATGTTGAATTTAAAATTTCTTTATGAGTTTTGCTTTTGCAATGGCAGCTCCCCAAATGGCAGTAGACTTCAGGACGATGATTTGGATCATTCTACCGATGAAGCTGGTCTACGACAGAAATTGGTAAAGACACTTTATTATGCCCATCTGCTTTTGTGATTAAAGTAACAATTGTCAAAGAACTTCTCTATATAAATAGATGCTTTCCCCCCATGATTTAACACTACGTGCATGGTGTAATCTAGATTGAAATACACTGAAATTTCCTTTTCTCAATCTCTGTCCAGTTCTTATTTCACTGATTGCTACCTTGAACAGGTTGTGCAGGTGTAAAATAGAAATAAAACTAGCTTACCAAATTTTTGTGACCATATTGATCTCTTTTGTACCAGGATATGGGACACTTAGATAATTGTGCCAATGTCAAGAAGGAACAACAATCTAATGCTGAGATTCAAAATTCTCTGAGGCAAGAGGTAGTTAATAATATTGCTGCCATATGCCTCTATAAATTCAATTTGAACCTAAGCTGAAAATAGTCCAAACTGTATATCCAGGAGTCAATGAAGTTTAAGAGTTAAACAGATCCATTTCTGATTTCCCTGCCAGAAGGTTAATAAGTTATAATTTCTTTTTCCATGCAGATATTGCATCTTGAAAAAAGATTACAAGACCAAGTTTCTGTTCGCTGTGCTCTGGAAAAAGTATTGGGTTATAGGGTATCTGGCCATGATATAACAGATGAAATCGCAATGCCTAAGGTATCAATCTTTGCCCTTTATATGATCAAAATTTATTAGTACGTATGTTCTGTGTCTAGGAGGTATTTGTTGTGAATGTTTAGGTTTTTGTGCCAATGACGTTCAATAGCATATGAAATGTTGTTTTATATTTTATTAAAAAAGTTCCGGTGAACTTTTCACTAACTTCTCAATCTCTGTATTTTACCCTATAGCTACGCCCAAATCCTTGAGATGCGTATGTGTTCAAGAAGCTGGTTTTGTTATAACTGAGTTGTATGCTTACTTTTCTTATGACAACCGTATATTTGTGTTTTACTGAAAATATTCTATGATTGGTTCCAGCCGGCCACAGAACTCATCAAGGAAATTTCAGTGCTAGAAGTAGAAGTCGGACATTTGGAACAGTATCTTCTTTCACTGTACAGGAAAGCATTTGATCAACAAATGTCTTCGTTATCTCCTACTAAGAAGAATGATGTATTGAAATCACCCTTGGCAACTCCAAGGAGAAGGTGCCTAGATTTTTCAAGATCAGGTTTGATGTCAGCGAGTGAAAAATTGGCACCCGAATTTGATGATCATTCCAATTCATGGAAGGAAGGCATTGGTCAATATGAGGAGAAGCTCGATGATTCTGGTGTTCAACGTTCTCACTCTGCACTATCTCAGCGTACAACACAGTCAAACAGAACATCTCCTCCTGTAGAGGTCTCGTGTAAAGCTGTGCGCGCATGTCATTCCCAACCATTATCCATGATGGAGGTATCTCAACGTTATCCCTTTTCCTTCAGACTTTTAGTTTTAGTAACGTATCAAACTTATGTTGCTGGTCTTCCTACAGTATGTAGAGAATACCTCTTCAAATGTGATTACTCTGGCAGAGCATCTTGGTACACGTATTTCTGATCACATTCCAGAGACACCAAACAAGCTTTCTGAAGATATGATCAAGTGCATGTCCACTATATATTGCAAGCTTGCTGATCCGTCATTGACAAATCAAGGCCTTTCATCACCCACTTCATCTTTGTCATCTATCAGTGCATTTTCTCCTAAAGATCAACGTGACTTGTGGAGTCCTGGCTACAAAAATTATTCTTCTTTCGATGTTCGGCTGGATAATCCTTTTCATGTGGAAGGACTGAAAGATTTTAGTGGACCTTACAGCACAATGGTCGAAGTACAATGCATATACAGAGATAGTCAGAAATTGGGTGATATCGAACCCTTGTTACAGAATTTTAGGTGATGCTTGTATGATGAGGTTTATATATTAACTTATTTCATATAACCCAAGCAGGATAATAGTAGTTGAGTTCATATTTTGTAGGTCACTTATTTCTCGTTTGGAAGTCATAGACCCTAGAAAGATGTTGAATGAGGAGAAATTAGCATTCTGGATCAACGTACACAATGCTTTGGTGATGCATGTAAGGATTCAAATTGACAAATTTACAAGATGTTGTTGTTGTTAATCTGTCTCAACTATGAGCTAACTTTATAGTTTTTTAATATAAACAGGCATTTTTGGCTTACGGTATCCCTCAAAACAATATGAAGCGAATGTTACTACTGTTGAAGGTAAGAATGTGAGAACTGATTAATTTTTCTCTACAATCTTTATCTAAAATCTGTTCTATCACTTATTTCTATTCTAGGCTGCCTATAATGTTGGAGGTCAAATTGTTAGTGCAGATCTTATACAGAATTCTATCCTGAAATGCCGAATGTCTCGCCCCGGACAGGTAAATCAAGCAGCCCATGTCTTGTAGAAGGCTATTATAATTGTTTGTTGTATTGATTAATCATTTATGCTTTCACGGCAATTCTTCAAAGCCTTTATATTTCAATTCATTTTTTAATTTCTAGTTTCTGCATACCTTAGTAGATTCGGCTAGTCTATATAGTTATGTTGATAAAAAGGCACTCTGTATGCAGTGGTTTTGGTCACTACTTTCTTCAAGAACAAAATTCAAGGCCGGTGATGAGCGACAAGCATATGCAATTGAACGTCCTGAACCCCTCCTGCACTTTGCACTTTCATCTGGGAGCCACTCTGATCCTGCGGTAGATATCCATAGCCTTTTTCTTTTCTCTAAGTTTCTGCATATGCTTTGCTTTTTGAGTGCAATTTGGTAATGAAACGATCTTTACTGTGGACCTGCACGGAAAAACTTCAATTGTAATTTACTTGATATAATAATGGCGATCATTTTTCTCTTTAAGTTGTACTCAAGCTCGAGAATCCCATTTGTGAAATTTGCTTTTGCATCAAGGCATTGTATCATATAGTTTTGAAGGGATCTTTTGTATCTTGGGAATTAATTTTGCACAAGTGACTGGTATCATGCACTTGGTCAATCTTTGGACGCTGCTTGAATTCTGTAGTTCGATTTTATCAGTAGTCACCATTTTAAAGAAAAGATATTTCTCGACGTTGGTCCTTGTAAAACGTGTCTCTAATGTTCCTAATTAGTCAAAAGTAGAATAATTTTTGAGATAATATACCTATAAGCTTTCATAAAATGGAGTTGGGGCATCATATTTCAACCAAAATGAATTTGCCAAAATCTGAAAATTTCGGAATTTTTTGTACTGAATTTGAATACAAGTGAATATGAATCTCATGTTTTAACCTTTGACAGATTCTCTCACGTCTTGATGTGATATTCTTCTCATTTGTTACTCGTTTCAAAGAGAAAAGTAAATGCTTAACCATTTCACTTCTTCATGGACTGTGATGATCTTACAAAAATGAGATCTTTTGTTTCAGGTTCGCATTTACACACCGGAAAGGATATTTCCAGATCTAGAAGCAGCAAAAGAAGAATACATTCGAGCTACTTTTGGCGTTCGGAAAGACAAGAAAATCCTGTTACCGAAAATCGTCGAGTCGTTCACCAAGGATTCAGGTTTGTGTCCTGCTGGCGTTTTGGAGATGATCCAACGTTCATTACCCGAGTCCCTAAGAAAAAGCATTAAGAAACGTCAGCTGGGGAAGTCTCGCAAAAGTTTTGAATGGGTTCCACACAATTTCACTTTCAGGTATCTCATTATGAAAGAGCTGGCCAAGTGAATATAGGTTGATTGCATGTTAAGTTCATTTCATCAAGTTTTTGCCTTAAATCATCAAAATAGAGATGTCTAGTTTCTTGCTCGTTTGTTTAAAGGAATAGAATTTGAGTATATGATTGTTTATGTACTTGCTATGGACTGTGTTGAAAAACAGACGATTTTGTATATAAGTTTGGTGCAGATGTTCATTAATTAATTAGCGTGCACGCATTTTGGTTACTGTTAAGTGATATATCCCACATCAGTATATAAGATAGTGTGTCATTCCTCTTAATAAGATTGACTTTTAAGACTTAAAAACGAGTTAATTTAATCAATGGTCATTGAACTTTGCTATAGGTTACTACTTGCTTATCGAAATTTAAAAGACTACTCGTTGCTCACCTAAATTTGAATAAAGTTACTCATTAATCACACATCATTTTCATCAGTGTTATCTATAGCAAAGTTTAGTGAGCAATGAATGACTTTGTTTAAATTTAGGTGAGCAACGAGTAATCTCTTAAGTTTCGATGAGCAAGTAGTAATATATAGTAAAGTTCAGTGGGTAATGTATAACTTTTTAAAGATCGATGAGCTAGTAACCATAGCAAATTTCAACGAAGATTGGATCTTATTCAAATGAGTGAACATGTTAAGCGATAAATTTCAGATTGATTAATACCCATGTCTTTGTAGAAATTTGGCTTTGGGCTTACTTGAAATGAGTTGGTCCATTCAAAGTGGAAGTCTCAAAACATAGTTTAATTATTATATAAGAAAGGACTATCAACTTTTCCTCCATGCCTCAGTGGAATATGTTATGTGGATGGTGGAATACTCAAAAACTATGTTCTAAAAGTTGTTTTCTTGTTTTGATTAGTGGGATTGAATAGCTTTCAATTCTTTATTCCACTTTGAATAATAATCGCATTAGTTGAACAACTTGCTAGAAAGTTCAATTTTCGAGATTAAAAATGTCAGCTAAAACCAGTGGCTTTTCAGTTCGGAATATTTTACAAAGCTCTTGTTTGGTGCACATTTTGGAGGCAAGAATGTATTTTTTTGTTGATGTGATGGGGAATATGTGATTGAAAAAGAAGGAAAAATTATTGATGCGATGAGAAATATTATTTTATTGAAGAATGTGTGGTTGAAAATGAGTAGAAGAATAATAATGAAAAAATTAATGTGGACCAAACAGGGGCTTAAGTGTTATTGACATTAAATGAGATGTATAATTGTAATTTAGTTACCTAAATTAATGTTGTAACACCAATGATGTTAAATGGTACTCATTATTCTATATATTTGCTATATGATTATGACTTTCTCTAGTTTCTTATCGTTTAAGATATCTTAATGAAGCAATTTGCTTAATTTTCAACAATGGTTGACAGTAGTGGCTGGCATCTTATGCAGTCATTAAATATCCAATTTCAATTTTGAGTTGCCATTTGTCAAAGCTATATTTATTTTATGGGATAATTGCAGCAAAAGCTCTAAATCTTTGAAACTAGCAGACCTTTTCCAAACATTTCATTTGTTGTACCCGCCACTCTTAACCTTTTCAACCATTGCATTTTTGAATGGTTTCCATCCATTTTTCCATCAGTTGACCGCCAATCAATTTTAAAAGGACAAAATAGTAACTATCTATTTACCACATTAAACAATTAAAAAACTTAAATCAGAAAATAAATAAGAGAAAATGTAAAAATCTCTCTTCTTTACCCTACCCCAACCTAACCCAAAAATAAAAGTCACACAATTGTCTTCAACCATTGGAGCCCTGTCGACGTCACCTCCACCATAAACCGCCAATGACACCCTTTTCGGCTACACCCATGTTGGTAGCCACCAAACGAACTTCTCTCGAGCCTGTCCCATTTCAATTTGATACATCCCGCATGCTTCAAGCCACGAATTCAATTTGAAAAAAAAAAAAATACAATTTAGGTTCTAACAACTATGGAAAAACACACCAATTAAATTCCCAATTCACGACCACACACGGATTCAAATAAACCCAACATTCACCAAATTTCCATTCAAAAACAAATTTAGCTAGAGACTTAAGGCAACGAGAAAGAAAGGGGAGACGATTGAACACGAGGACTTTGATGAGGATAGTGAAATTTGAGCCAGGATTTGAAGTTGAAATCATGCCACAAGAGCTGGTGGTGGTAACCATGTCTGTATCAGTTTGTTGGTGAGGAAAGTCTTTGGAATCTGAAGTTTTGGCTCCTATATTAGTCTGGTATGTGACTAGTGATGATGGTCTCGACAAGTGGAGCTTTGGGTTGAGAAGTCTGTTTTCGTTGGCGTCGATGATGAGAGATGGATGGGGTGATTTTCGTTATTTTATTATAAAAAATGTAAAGTTACAATTTTAACCTTTTAAAACTAGTTAAAATAATGGTCAAAGTCAATTATTTGGTTAACTAACGGTCAAACTAATAGTTTTCATTCAATTGGACTTTAAGTGTGAGTTTTCAAAATGTTTGGTACCGTGAATGAAACAAAGTAAATGTTTAAGTTAAGTATGCATGAAAGTGGAAATTTTGGTACCGTGACTGCAATTTTTCCAATTTTCTTATGAACATTTTGTACATACCTATATGTCTCCAGAATCATTTGACAAAGTCAGTCAAATGTATATCTGCATTGCATGGTTTCCAACCATCCTACATGAATAAGTTCAATGGCAGAATTTAAAGCAGGGGGGCATGCGTTATTTATTCATTTGATAGTTAGAATGAAAAGCAGCCAAATAGGTGCTGCCACATGGCACCAATCACAAAACCCTATCAAGTTTCCCTATTTGAGTAGCTTTATCCCGTGGTTCCAGCTGTAAAGAGCTTTCTCCCATCTATTTTTTAACCAACCTACTACCCCTCCTCCCTTCCTGGAACGTAACCACAATCTTGAATTGTTTCACTTTCCAAGATGTATGTATGTAATTTTAAGTCTTTAGTCTTTATCTTTGATTTTTGACTCATTGGATACCTAAGCCATTGAAGCATTCTTTTCAACCTTGTTACCTTTTCACTCTCCCTTACAGTTGTCTTTACATTCTTCCACATGTTAATATTTACGTTCTTGATTTTGAATTCATCCATCACATCGTTGTACAAATTTCCTCCACATAAGATGAATGTCAACCAAGTTATTATAAAGATTTTCAAGATGATTTTAGAGAATAATGTTTATTACATTTAATGCGCGTTTGAGCCTTATTTTATTGTAAGAAGACATTTTGAAATAGTAAATTAATGAGAATGCGTTGCTAAAAAATATTTAAAAGTATTGAATTTATGTGTAATATTATTATATTCAAGATACGAGCATATGTAGTATTGGCATTAATAAATGTCTATCTCACAAAACCTTGCGTATACAGCAAACAAAGTCAGATCACGACACCACCGAATGAAACTCATCTCTTAGTTCGTCCGTCCTCCTTATCCTCTTACAAGTAAAAATTCCAAAAACTGACCTATTTGCAATTATAAAAAGTTCAAAAATAACAAAAATGATTTTGTACTGATATTGATTTTCAACTCAATTAATCAGTTATAAAGGACATTTTTGAGGCATGATAATGTTTTTCGACACAGCTTGACATACGGAAAATTGGTAATGCCTCTTCGAATCAGCCATTTGCAGGATTTGGTTACATAGCTGATCTGCTAATGAAACTTAACTCGCCTGTCACTAAACTTAGACTATTATTTACAAAATGAATTTCTCAAAACAACCCTACTCTGGTATTGCACTCAAATTTCTCGTCAGCTTCCCAGTTCTGATCCCGGCATTACCGACGTGGGCCGTCTTCAGATCATTCTCACCGGAAAAAACCAATATTTTCCGGCGGCACGGGCATTTATCACCACTCTTGGTCAATGCGGAGGAGGCTTTTACGGCCAATGCTGCCATTTCCTCCGCCTTCAGCCGGCGCTTCAACCGGCTTAACGGCAGCGCAAAATACAGCTGACCCGGCTGAAGCATCTCGTCATGACTTACAGCCGACACGACAACATCAAAATCCATTTCGTCGGAATTACAAATGAAAAATGTAGGGTTCTTTTGCAAAACATATGAAACCTTAACTGGATATGAAAATTCCTGTAATCTCCCATCATCGAATATCAACTTGGCCGTCACCGCAGATGATGATTCGCAAGAACTGCATATACCCATAATAAATGAATAAATCAATTTATTTATATTCAGTTTTTTCTCTTCTTCTCCTCTCTTCTCTGCAATGGGAAAAACTGAATACCTTTTTTTTTTTTTTTTATGCTGAACCGTGAGAAGAAGGCGAAAGTTTTCCGTATAAATAGAGGGGGCGTATGGGAAAGTGAACCAGGATGCCGCGTAAGAGAGAGAAATGAATACATATATGAAATGTGGTTTTTATGTTTTCCGATCAGTGGGCAGGGGTTGCCAACCTGTAAATTGCAGGTGACAGCTTGTATGAGAAGAGTACTTGTACTATAGTGACCCACTTTTTGAACGAAATTACGAAAACAGGGACTAGGTTCAGCCATTTCTCATCCGTATGAAAATTATTGGACCATTTTGACATGTATTTTGTCTATTTGAGAAAAAGTTGGGGGAAGGTGAAAGGAAAAGATTGGCTAATTGTATTTGTAGGATGGAGTGGGGTGTGGTGGGGGGTAATGTGCGTTTCCTCTTTCATGCTCAATAATACAAGTTAGAACCACAAAAAAAAAAAAAAAAATTCTTAGTGATTTCCATACGAGTCAGTCATTTATTCTTGAAAGCGACGCAATTCGTGAGAAAAGCTATATTGAAATTATCCCGTTTTGAGTTTCGGGTGGTTCTTGGATTTTCGTAGGTGATAACCTTGCTTGGATCATCTTCAAACTCAAGTTTGGAAAGCATAAATACCAAAAAGATACAAGAATTAGGAGTCATTAGTTCTATGTTATGTTAATTATTCTAATCTTAGGTGATTCGAAAATAGATTTATTAAAGCAAAACCAAGGAATGAAAAGGCAAAAGATGGTGGTATGGCAATATTGGTGGAAAGTACATATGGAGAATATGGGCAATATTCGGAGTTATTTTACGTACTCATTTTTAACTATACATTCACGTAATGAAATCTTTTGTACGTAAATCCAAAAATTTTCATTATTTTTAACCACACATTCTCCAAAAAATTGCAATTCAAAATTTTATTTTTTCTAAATAATGACTGGCTAAAGTTCTTGACACTTTTAATCATACATTTTTAAAAAAATTACTCCACACTATCACTTAGAGCTTGTTTGTTTGGGATTCTCAAATTTTACAATAAATCAATTCTCATTTTCAACTATACATTTTTCAATAAAATAATATTTTTCATCACATCAGTAATTTTTCTTCTTTGTCAACCACACATTTCCCATCACATCACTATTCAAAAATCAATTCTTCCCCCAAAAATCCCTACCAAACACACTCTTAAACCAGTGCAGGTTAGTTTGGGTTTTAAAGGGACTTGGGCCAAAGGTTTATGCATAGTGTCTCTTAATGATTAATTTTGCCGGCCTGGGTTTATATTAGTTTGGAATAATGTTGTTTACTGTTAATGTGTACAAATCTAAGTGGCTATAAATCCAAATTGTTTAGCAGAGAGTAATTTAGAAGAAACAAAGGTAGGGTTGTAATTTTGTGGAAAGAAAGGGTGTTTTGAGTAGAAGAAGCGCCAAACGTGGCAAAGTCAGGAGGTAGATACCATGCAGAAAGACACGTAGAAACTGCTGATTTTGTTTTTATATTTATATAAAATTCTTTTATTTGGGACAAGGAAGTGGTAGGGTTAGGAACCAACAACCCGACGACAACTTATCATTTTTTATCTGGTCATTTGGGGCCTTCGTATTTTCATATATTATTTTCATTTTCAATCTCATTTTGTTTCTTTCTGTGATGATTAGATTACGACTACGTTTGAGTCCCATTTTTTTGTAAAAAAAAAATATAAATTTTGTAATAGATTTTTTTTTTTTTTGAAAATGTAAGTTTAAAAAGTAGGATAAAATCATAAATTGAGAAAATATATAATTAAATGTAAGTTAGTGAAAAATGATTTTTAAATAATGAATTTCAAACACGATTATAAAAGAAGTACATGCGACAAAATTCATCAATTATTTCCTCCCCCGATCTCCCTCAAGATGACGATATTGGCATCGTGAAAAAAGAGAGAAAACTGGGGAAAGATATATTCATATTTCCGATCGTCTTTCTGTTTATTTATAAACAAGAGTATCATTATCTCCTTAAAAAAGGGAAATGTTATCCAAATGGTATTTCATATTTCCAAATTAGACAAGACAATGTACATGCACGTACGTACATGTATTTATTTTGAGCTGTCCTATATAGAAAAAACTGCAATATTTGTTGTACCTGCCTCCCTAGCTAGCTTGATTCAAAGATGCAGAAATTCTATCAAGAATCTCTCTTTGATCTTCTCTAATTGACCACCGAACGAAATCGAAGAAAACTTGTACATTATCCTGGCCTCGGCACGTTTTCTGAGCTAAATTGAATGAACTGCACGATGATGATTGTAGAGTAGGGACAAATAGACAAACGCCATGACACCATTTGAATATATCGATCAATTCCTTCTTAAGTTTGTATGTACCTACACAATCAATTCTCATCCATATTCAGTCGTTTTTAATAGTATTTTCTCAATACATTTTATAATTCTAAAATTATTAAATTAGGCACTTCTTAAGTACTTTTTCTGTATACTTTTGTATCTAACACTAGTTAGAAGCACGTGCCATGATGTCGTTGAGTACGTAATAAAGTAGGTATTAAAAAAATATTTATGTCAAACATTAGTTACATAAAATTTTCTTATAAGTTGCTAAATATTTCGAGGCAACATTAAATGTGGAGATGAAAAAAATCACACCCACAGTTATCGAAGAAATCGAGGCTCGCCTTCCACCACAGCCTCCAGTTATCGAAAAAAAAAACAAATCAAACGT